AAATTCAAGTTTCAAACGTTAGACCACCATGTTAAGATGCCCCAGAAAACNCATCAGGTCCCTCACACAAGACATAGTGGACCGCGGAACCCGGCAGTTGTCCGCTGCGCGCAGAGGTGACATTCGCCGATGTACTAGTTCGCTGTCCTGTCTCTTGTCAGAGAAATCTGAATAGAGTGGATGGAGAATAAGACGGATTCTGACTTCGTGTTGAATAGAAGTCTCTCTCCCCACTCAAACAATTTTTGGGGGCTCTCGGGCCAGGCTTTTCCCCGTGAGGGGAAGGCCGACAGAAACTTTTAGCTAGGATGACTAACTTTTTTCTCTTGAGTATTGATTCAGAAATTTTCTGAAAAAGCATGTCAACTTTTGGAATTTTTCAAATTTTCAAATTCAGATTTGTTAGGTAAATCAACTTAAGAGCAAAGCATAAAATAAGTTGTGTTCTAGTGGACTCAAATTTGCATACTTGTAACGGGCTGGGCCGGGCTTTTTCCCGAATTTCGGAGGCCCAGCCCGCCCCGGCGGCCCTGTCATTCCACAAGTTTTGAAAATTTCAAAAAACGAAAAAAATTTTTTCGAGTTTTTTTTTGATATTTTTTGATCAAACAGACAAACAATCCAAAAAGCACGAAAAAATATAAAAAATTGTATTGAGAGCTCAAAATTCGGTCCAATATGACAAAATTTTTGCTACCGGGTCTTGAAATTTTCCTCAGGCCCAGCCCAGCCCGGGCCCGGGCCCGGGCTCGGGCCGGCCCGGAATTTTACAAGTATGCAAATTTGGAGTTAAAAATTCTTAAAAATTCATTGTTGAACTGGCCAAGTTTCAAATTATTTCATCAACTTTGAGCTGAGTTATCGCTTGGCAAAGTTGCTTCATCTCATGAAAATCACAACGGCGTGCGGTGTGCCATCTTTGGACAATCATAAGAATACCTAGACTTGAGGAATCGCTTTGAAAAGTTCAGTAGATTTGAATCAAACGTTAAATTATATTTCTACCAGTTTTCGTGCTTCCAAGGCACCTGTGTCTAAAGATATACCCGTTTTTATCAATCTGGGTTAGCCTCACATCAGTTTAGGGAAGATCCTAACTTTCAGTGCTAGAAGGAACTTTAAAAACCCCTTCTACCGTATTCTCACCTTCCAAAACTAACCTCAAAAGTGTGCTCAAAAGTGTTTCCAGCTGAAACATTGAAATCCGCCGTGTTGTCGACACCAACCAGTCGGAAGAACGTCGCATCGGAGACATTATGATTCCGAACGAACAGTGTCAAATCGTACTTTCTTCCTTTGTAGTGTTTTCGCGAAATGACTAGATTGGCAAACAACACGAAGATTAACAGTTGTAACCTCATGTTATTCTGGAAAGTTGACCTTAAAAAAAGCATACTGTATTTCATCTAATGGAAGCTTATCCAAACCGGTAACTTTGAGCTCAATTATCTCGGTTCCTATAGGAGATAGCAAAAAGGAGTCATCTGATAAATTATTAACCTTAGTATTGTCTACTTTTTGTTAGTTGACAAATTTTTGATATCTCTCATAGGAACCGAGATAAGTGAGCTCAAAGTCTTTTAGAGCACATACGATACCTGTAAACCGGGCCTTCGCGGACTCTACCGCAGTTTTGAAATTAATATTTTCGGGCCATTCAAATAAAATAAAATAGAATTCAAGGAGTTCTACAAAATGATACTATTTGGAATACTGTATCTTGTCTATTAACAACGTTACAGGGTCATAAAGTTGTGACCGCGTTGCTCAGACGGTTTTGGTTTTTGGCTTGTAACTTTGTTTATATACAAGACATAGTAATCTAAATAGCACCATTTTGTAGTACTCGTCGAGTTTTCATATTTACGTTGGTTGATCTCAACATAGTGATTCTAAAAACAACTATGTGAGGGCCCGCAAAGGCCCGACAAAGGATTTTTTGGCCAAGAATTTTTAAAAGGAGAATAGAAAAAAAAGGAAAGGAATGTTGATTTTGTGGGAGGAACATTTGACATAATTCTGGCAAAAGTCTGTGGCCCTAAAATTGGATTTTCGCTCGAGCTGAGCTAGAAAACCAAAACGAATGGAGCCGAGCAAATAAGAAGAATGTTTTTTGTTCTCTCTTTTTTTTGTTTTCTCGTCTATTCCAGCTGTCAACTTATCATCGAAAAAAGAAAAATGCTACTTCTGGATATGAGAAGAAGGCGGAGAATCCAAAAACGGAAATTGGAAAAGCAAAAACTCTAAAAAGTGCTACTCTGGAAATCAAAGTAATATCGAAATATGCACAGGAAATTGAAAAATCAGCGAAAATCACTCACCTATCGTTTCTGTCGTATCATTCCTCCTTTCCTAGTGCTGCCTATGTACTTTTGTTGGGGTCGTTCGAGTCCAGGAGAGATGTTAATCTGAAAAATTGAATTCTTTAGGTAGAACCTGCAATAGAAGAGCCCCCACAAGTTTGATCCCAATTATCTCGCTTCCTGTGTGAGATATCAAAAAGTTGTCAACTGACCAAATATTTTTGATATTATGATTAACAATTTATCAGTTGACACATTTTTGATATCTTCCATGCGAACTGAGATAAATTGGCTCAAAGTTGAAAGTAAAGGTGTCCTTCAATCAAAACAAAGAGAAGGAAATAAAATGGCCAACTGGGTGGCCTAGAACAAATTCGATTCAAAAAGGTGACAATATAATCCAAGAGTATTTAGTAATCTCACAATTCAATCTAAACCTATTTGAGAAAGGGGAAAATAGTGTGTGAGACGAAGAGGTGCAGACGAAATTAGGAGAAAAGGGGAATTTTTCAAACGTGGAGTTTGATTTGAAGTGACGGTGGAGGGAAACCGGGGGCAGAGAAGAATTATTGGGTCGAAATAATATAAGACAAAAATTTTCGTGGAGATTGAAACCTTAGATACCAGAAATTAGAAAAAAGAGAGGTTGTGAACCTAATGAATTGAACTAATTGGGTGATTTTTGACGGGTGGAAGAAATCGAAACAGTGAGTCATGAAGAATTTGGAAATCGAATTTTTTTAAAGTTGAAAATTCTGATTTTCCCAGAAGAAACAGAAACCAAGAAAAATTATGAAATTCGGAAAACTAGTTGGTACAATTAAGTACCTGTTCGCTTTTTGGATGAATGAGTCATTCCACTTGGCAAATATGTGTACCGTACGAAAACATTTTAGGGTGTGGGAAATTGAAAAAAACAGACATGTAGGCGTTATGGAAAAATGGAACGTTCTAGACAATTCAACTATAGCAAAAGTACTGTAATTGCTCAAAGAGCAGCCCACCAAAGTTGAGCTCAATTATCTCAGTTTCAGTGAAAAATATCAAGAATCTGTTAAATGATAAAATATTGGTGACTTTATGATAAATAATTTGTCAGTTGACCAAATTTTGATATCTTTCACAGGAGTCGAGATAATTGAGCTCAAAGTTGACGGTTGGGGGTTTGGCTTCTTCTAGAGCCTCTCAAAGTAAGCAATTTTCATTTTCGATCAGTTAGAAAAATTGTTGAATTTTTCCAAAAAGTTATTATACAATTCAAAGATCCTCCTCAAAATTTTAGACATGATGTGCCTTGATAAATCGAAAATTTTTATCACAAAATTTTTTTTATCAAAAAAAAATTTATCACAAAATATTTGAATTGATTTCAAATAGGGTCCTCTAGAATGGTAAACTTTAGAATTCAAAATGCTCAAAAATTCTAGAAATTGTAAATTTGACAGTTTGAATTTTGAAAAATGTGGGGAAAAAACTGTAAAACCTGTAATTGAAGGGTCCCCAACCCGCCAACTTTGAGCTGATTTTTTTCGGTCTCTGTGAAAGATCTTAAAAAGTCATCAGCGTATAAAATACTGATAATATTATGATAAACAATTTATCAGTTGACAACTTTTTCATATCTTTCACAGGAACCGAGATAAATCAGATGAAACTAGACGATGTGAGGGCCCTTCTATCACAGGTTTTACGGTAAGCTCAAATATCCAATGAGCCCCAAACCCCCGAGAAAAATTGATTCCCATGTCAACTCCTTAACTTGAGACAGTAGGTGTCATCAGTCTTGTAAATGACGTGGCAGCTGGTTTAGTGTCTTTGGACGGCGTCGAAGAAGACAGTTGTATAAATTGGGAAGGAAAAGAAGAAATTTGAATAATTTTATGGTTTTGGTTCCTACTCCTCCTATTTTGTCACCACCACTTCCGATTCATCGGAAAGCTTGACATCTATCAGAAGGCGTCAGAATTCAGAATTCAGAAACAACAACAACTGAAAAAAAAAACAACAAAAGTGGTTAGGGGGGCAACCAACTTTTTCTCTTTTTTTTTTTTGACTAACCGAATTACTTCTAATTCCACAGAAGAGAACTTTTCTCTTCTTCTTCTTCTCCTATCATTTAGTTTTCATTTTTCGGTGGCAAAGACAAAAAGAAAATGAAAGTGTTTTAACCGAAAAATGGATACTACTAGTCTCTACATAATTACGGAAAGGTTTGGTCATTCAATTCTCTGGAAATAGGTAGGCACATCCATAAAAAAGGGCGTGAGGAAAATAATAGAAACTAGTTGGGATATGCATCTATGTGTTTGTGTTTATTTTGTATAGGAAAAATCTCTGGGGTTTAAAAAGTAAAAAGATGCAAAGAGAATGATGCACTTCTGGAGAAGATATAGCGGTTTTTTGGGTGGGAGGGGAAAAGGAGAAGAGCAAAAATAAGATTGAGAAGAGTCTGAAAAAATTGCACAGGAGAGAAAAAAATTGAGATGAATGTGTTCTTGAAGAAAATCTTAGAAGAAAATCAAAACAAGGCAATTGAAGAAACTAGCGCATCCAAATATTTTCTTAACCTAATCAAGTTGAACAATTGTTCATGTGATCTCCCCGGTAGAGATAAGAAGAGAAATCGGAGGGGGATAGTTAAACGATTTGACAACTATTCGGGAAACTGGTTTCGTGTGACTTGTTAAAAAGAAAAACGAAAAGGAAATCGAAACCGTATCAGGAGAATTAAAGAAAAATATACGGAAAGTTTTGATTCTCTGATCCAGCTCAATTATCTCAATTTTGGTAAGAGATATCAAACATCTGCAAATTATAAAAATGTTGTTGATAATATGATAAACATTTTATCAGTTGACACATCTTTGATAACTTCCACGGGAACAGAGATAATTGAGCTTGAAGTGCGTATACAGGTTAAAAAATTCAGTGAGTCGTCAGATTCCAGGTGCCATTTTTACTGGTTTCTTAAAATTTTCTAGTTTGAAAATAATGATATGTTCTAGAAATCATTAAAATTGTCAATTATTTTAGTTAAAAAATACCGAACTATAAATCGAATGATTTCAGAAGTTTTTCAGAAAAACTAGAACTTTCAACTTTGAGCCAATTTATCTAGGTTCCTGTGGAAGATATCAAAAAGTGGTTAACTAGCAGAGTGTTATTGATAGTATGATAAACATTTTATCAGTTGACCACTTTTTGATATCTTTCACAGAAAATGATACAATTGCGCTCAAATGAACTTGAAGGGTGGCCTCCTATTGGAGTGTTTACGGTAGCTTCTAGTAAAACAAGGTTATGCTGTTGAAGGTTATAAACAATATGAAAAATTTGAAATCCTGAGCTCTTTCAGATAAAAATTCTCCAAAACCTTTACGTCTGTCTATTGTTCCAAAAAACTCAAAAAGTCAAGAAGTTAGAAAGAAACAAATGGAACATCCTAAACTCAAACAATTCTCCTACTGTTCCTCTTGCCCCGGGAGCAACATGTTCCTGTTGATTAACAAACTCAGAGAGAGAGAGAGAGAGAGCAGTAAACGAGCACAAAAAACCTGAGCAACTGAGTAGAGCTCTGTGCCCCCCGTCCCAAAGAAACAAGTGGCACGATCCGCTTATCACACTGTTTGTTCTTTTGTAAGGCATGTGCATCTTTTTCTTCTTGCACCGGCGAGCAATGCAAATTAGAAAGGAAGTCGAAGAATAATTGTTTGGCGGGGGGAAAAAAGAAAAGAAACATTTTTGACCGCGAGAGGAATGCCGAAAATTCGAACTAACGACATACACTGGTTACACCCAATCAGTCCGTCAAAAATAGAAGAATGGCAGTTCTTTGAGAAAAAAAAAGAAAAAGAACGGAGCAAACCGAAAACAGATGTGGAGGAAGAAGGACATCCAATATTCATTCGGAATGTTTGAAGAGCAGAGAAAGAGCTGACAATTGTTTTTTGTGTTGTGTTTTTTGCTGTTTCTGGAGAGAAGCCAAAAAAGCTCTTCTTTGGGAGCTAAAGGTGTAATAGAAGTCATTGTTCTGAAACAAGAAACAAAAAATTGCTTGG